AGGGATTCAAGAGTCGTGGGGCCACTTATTCGAGTGGTGCCAATGCGGTGACGATAAAAGTGTCCTGCAAAATGCTGCTGCAGTGAGGGTCTAATGAGCCTAGATCCTCCTCCTCCTGCATCTGCCGCCCACTCTTCCCTCTGCTCAGTTTTTGTCTGACCTACTCCTTTCGAGCGTGTCCGCCCTCGTAACGCAAGGTGCAACTTGACAATCATTGACACCACTCGAGTGACATACTAGTAGTGCAACACGCAATCATCCCTACCTAACTACCACCTGTGTCTCTGTGCCTTGGATATGCATGAGGTGAGACAAGACACTGACATTGACAAGTGAATGACCATTAGAGGTGCATCAATCGAGGTCACCCCTTCCACCACAACATTGTACAATCAACTTGCGTCATTGGCGGTCATGTGAAGAGTGGTTTCGGTGGCAATTGTGGCTGGTCACCTTGTGATGTGCACGTCTCGGTCTTCCATTATCCTCAGCGAGGACTCCAACTCACTTCGGACACACGGAACAGGCAGAGACGATTGGCTGGATTTGGGCACGGCAGAGGAGGCCTCAAGATGCCCTGTTCTTGTCCTTATTGTTGGCAGTGCGGCCAAGTATTGGGGAGGTGATTGACCATGTGAGCTGTAGGGCACAGCCAAATGTAGTGTGGGTGTGAGTGATGGTGTGGGGGTTCGGACAAGCGCAGAAGAAATGATGTGGTTCGTATCACCTTCCTTCACGACGATTGGACGCAGCAGATGCTCTGAAAATGAAAGATGAGATGGTTGGAGGTGTGGACGTGTATGTGGATGAGCATACGGACCGACGGATGGGTAAGTGGGTAGGTGGGTGGTTAAGTGGGTGGATGGTATGCTGGAATCGACCTCAGACAAGCCAAATCAATGCTCTACCTACCTCTTGGGGAATAGCACGTCAGGTTGATTATTGTAGCAACCGTACGGAGAGGCGACTCACTCCGCCCATTCCTCCGAGTAGCAAAGCCGAGCTACCTTAGGCCACTTCAAGCCCATTTCGTCTCCACTGGCCTGCATGAGAGCTACTTTGAAATGCGCTTCCCATGGTGCGCGCAATTGGAGCTGGTAACAGTTAACCGACTTGATGTGGTCCCACCACTTCGTAGAGAGCAAAGCGAAGGGGAGATTGCCGTACAGGACCTCTATTGGGGGCGGTTCAGGGAGGACATTTGGGGACAGATGCTTGGGTCAATTGGAGATGTCTAGCTAACCTCATGCCCTCGATGGAGTGTGGTGAGGCGTGCAAAGTGAACACCTTTCACGCCTACCGCTGTCTGTGCGAGCGAGTTGGCTTTCACTGCTTTTACGACAGGTGCACGTTTGGATTCTTTCTCGCCCCGAATACGTCCACGAGACTAAGTGAAGATGGAATGAGTTTGTCTCACCACCTCCAAACGACTCCTTTCTATGCAATGTGCATCAGCATGTGTTATGGTGGCTGACAACGAGGACCAATGTGCAGCCTCATTCGCTGTGGCATGATCCCACACAACCAGTTGCCGTTTTCTGTCGAGCTACCTTCACTCACACCCAACAGATGCACTTGTCTCAGTCGGGACGACCACGTGGAGGTTGTGCTTGCACAGCACCACTAAACTCACTCAGATTACATTGCAGCACAAAGTTGC